ACACACACACACACTCACAGACACACACACACACACACACGGACACACACACTGTCTGGTCAGCTATCCTTGTGGGGACTCTCCATAGGCGTAATGGTTTTTCTACTGTACAGACCGTATATTCTATTGCCCTACACCAACCCTACACCTAAACCTACCCCTCACAGGAAACTTTCTGCATTTTTAGATTTTCAAAAAACTTCATTCTGTATGATTTATAAGCTTTTGTACCCTTGGGGACCACAATTTAGGTCCCCACCGTGACACGAGTCCCCATGAATCTGTGTGTATTCAGGTTTAAGTCCCCACCAGGATATATAAACCTGTACACACACACACACACACACAGTAATAGTCCCACAATTGTCCTGATATGAAGACAATACGTTTTTCAGCAAAAGTTTTGTTTTGAAACCTATTCAACAGCTTTTCTTCCACCACCTCTAAAGTCCTCTATTAAACAAAGCATTTGTGCAGAACATATTAAAAAGTTGTTCTATTTCAGCTCCGACTGGAAGCTTGGACACATGGCTTAAAGTGTATGATCAGACTGCACAACTCTACTGGAAGGTGAGGGTCCTTCTGACAGTCCTGACACAATTTGGAGAAAGTCTAATTTTAATATTATAGGCTAGGCCTACAGTGTGTGTGTGTGTTTAACATTATATTATACACTCCTACACATATGTGACCAGTCAGTGTTATTTTAGTATAATTTATAGTTTTTGTTAATATTGAATTGAATTAGATTTTTGTATTTTTGTTTTCACTTGAGCTTTTTTTTTTTTTTTTCAGGTTTCAATTGTTTTTGTCATTTTTGTTTGATTAAATATATCTATAGAATTTTTGTTTTAATTAACTTTTATTTATTAGTTTTTGTTTGTTTTAGTTATTCTGAAGTTAAACTAAATGAAAATGAAAAATGTTGCCTTGACAACTAGCTGAAATAAAAGTTAAAAAATAGTATTTTATTATTATATTTTTTATTTCAGTTAACATTAATTTTTTTAACTAACATTAGATAGATAGATAGATAGATAGATAGATGTTTGTATTAAACAATTTTTTAACCTGTGAGTTCCCTTTCACCTCTCTGTCATCTTATTTCAGCCCTCAGAAAAGTTCAGTGCCAATGGCTGGAATTTGTCATATACTGTCGAATCAAAGGAACCGAAAAAGGCTTTATGTGTTACACGAGAAAACCACTGCTTTTTCAATCTCACCAAGTGGGTTAAAAAGGTTTACCTGAGAGCCACTAATGCAATGGGGAGCTCGGTTCATACCAAAGTACCAGTGTATCGGAGGAGAGGTATTTGATTGCTGGACATGTGATATTTCAGAGAGATGTTCTATTCACAGTGTATGACCAATGAAATGCTGATGTTTGATGACTTTTATTGTGTTGTTTTAGGGCTGGGCTCTGTCTCTAATGTCAGTGTTCATCCTCAGTCCGAGACGTCAGTGCTCGTCGCGTGGGGACGACCGGCGTCCCCCCAAGTCACAGGATACGTGCTTGAGTGGAGACCTCTGTGTGAGACACCGGCAGCTCCCTTGTCCTTTACTCTGATGGACAAAAACAACTCCAGTACCATAGTAACAGGTGTTTTTATAATTAATAATATTAATTATTATATACGCTACTGGTCTGGAATAATGACGTTTTTGAAAGTAGTGCCTTACACTCACCGTGCATTTATTTGATCAAAAATACAGTAAAAACACTTTTAAATATATATTAAATTTAAATATATATTAAAATGTAATTTGTTGCTATGATCAAAGCTGAATTTTCAGCATCATTACTCCAGTCTTCAGTGTCACATGATCCTTCAGAAATCATTCTAATATTCTGATTTGCTGCTCATTTTTTGCTGCTTAATATATTTGCTGCACTTCAGAATTCTTTGATGAATAGAAAGCTCAAAATAATAGCATTTATTTTAAATAGAAATCTTTTGTAAATATCATTATACATTTTTAAAACAATATGAATATATTTATGAACCATTTAATATGTCCATGCAGAATAAAAGTATGATTTTTTTTCAAACCAGTGTTATTTTAGTATCGAGACAGTATTATATTTTTTGTTAATATTTTGAATTAGACTGTATTATTTAGAATATATATATATATATATATATATACACACACACACTCACACACACACACACAATGTATCATGGGTTGCACAAAATATTAAGCAGCAGTTTGCAACATTAATAATATAAGCAGAACCAAATCAGCATATTAGAATGATTTCTGAAGGATCATGTGACACTGAAGACTG